GGTCCGGGAGGATCCCACATGCCACGGAGTGGCTAGGCCCGTGAGCCATGGCCACTGAGCCTGCGTGTCTGGAGCCTGTACTCTGCAACGGGAGAGGCCACAACAGCGAGAGGCCCACATGCCACACACACAAAAAAAAATAATAAAGTTATTACAAGATAATGGCTATATTTCCCTGTGCCATATAATATATCCTTGTTGCTTACAGAGCAATTTAATTTTTGAAGGAAAATAGAAGGAGAGATGTAAGATTAACTCTCATATATAATATTCTGTTGCTTTCTATGCATACAAATGCAGTATTGATACTTCTCTTTATAACCCATGCTATGACACTAATTCCAAGGAAACAAACTCTATCTCCAAATTTGCCCCCACTGCCTATTATTCTGTCATTATAGCTTTATATCAGGAGCCTTGAAGATTTGTTTTTCATTTTTGAGTTCTCTTTTAAATAGCCCAGGAAGACTTCGGCCCTAAACTATTACTAGTAAGCTTTTTACCAGAGATTCACTTACAGTGGATAAGAACAGCAGTTAAACACAGGATAGCCACCTGATGATGGATAGAAGATAGAATAAAAAGAGAAGAAGAAACGTGAGTGGCAGAGGTCACCAAAGGCTAATTTTACTTATTTCCCATTTTACCTGAAGTCGACACTGGCCGTTCTACTTTAAATCATTTGCTATTCCTGATCCAAAGTTCTTAGGGAAAATCAGTTACCCACCTCTGATTTTTTTTTTTTTTTTTTTTTGCGGTACACGGGCCTCTCACTGCTGGGGCCTCTACCGTAGCGGAGCACAGGCTCCGGACGCGCAGGCTCAACGGCCATGGCTTACGGGCCAGTCGCTCCGCGGCATGTGGGATCCTCCCGGACTGGGGCACGAACCCATGTCCCCTGCATCGGCAGGCGGACCCTCAACCACTGCGCCACCACGGAAGCCCCCACCTCTGATTATTGATTAATTGCTCACTTAATCCTTATTGATCCCTAACAATGGCATTCCAGAATATAATATGATCTCTGCCTTAAAATATTGGATTGACCAAAAAGGTTATTTGGCTTTTTCCGTAAGATGGCTCTAATAGTGCTTAGTTGTCTTTAAGTTCATTTGAAACAATTTTTTAGATGGTATTGTGACAGCTGTCATATTGGCATGCATTTTAAAATAATTGATCAAAATTGGTGAGTTTTTGTGTAGCCATTTTAATATTGAAGATGGAAGAAAAAACACAACATTTTCGGCATACTATGCTTTATTATTCAAGAAAGGTAAAAACGCAGTGCAAAAAAAGATTTGTACAGTGTATGGAGAAGGTGCTGTGACTGATCGAATGTGTCGAAAGTGGTTTGCGAAGTTCGTGCTAGAGATTTCTCGGTGGACAATGCTCCATGGTTGGATAGAACAGTTGAAGTTGATAACGATCAAATTGAGACATTAACTGAGAACAATCAACATTATACCACGTAGGAGATAGCCAACATACTCAAAATATCCAAATCAAGTGTTGAAAATCATCTGCACCAGCTTGGTTATGTTAATCGCGTTGAGGTTTGGGTTCCACAGAAATTAAGTGAAAAAAACCTTCTTGACTGTATTTCTGCATGCGATTCTCTACTTAAACATAACGAAAACATTTTGTTTTTAAAACAAATTGTGACAGGCGATGAAAAGTGGATACTGTACAATAATGTGGAATGGAAGAGATTGTGGGGCAAGCGAAATGAACCATCACCAGCCTACACCAAAAGCCAGTCTTCATCCAAAGAAGGTGATGTTGTGTATATGGTGGGATTGGAAGGGAATCCTCTTTTATGAGCTCTTTCCAGAAAACCAAACAATTAATTCCAACAAGTACTGCTCCCAGTTAGAACAACTGAAAGCAGCGCTTGAGGAAAAGCATCCGGAATTAGTCAACAGAAAACGCATAATTTTCCATCATGGTAACGCAAGACTGCATGTTTCTTTGATGACAAGGCAAAAACTGTTGCAGCTTGGCTGGGAAGTTCTGATTCATCTGCCGTATTCACCAGACATTGCACCTTTGGATTTCCATTTGTTTTGGTCTTTACAAAATTCTCTTAATGGAAACAATTTCAATTCCCTGGAAGACTGTAAAAGGCACCTGGAATAGTTCTTTGCTCAAAAAGATTAAAAAGTTTGGGGAAGATGGAATTATGAAGTTGCCTGAAAAATGGCAGAAGGTAGTGGAACAAAATGGTGAATACGTCGTTCAATAAAGTTCTTGGTGAAAATGAAAAATGTGTCTTTTATTTTTACTTAAAAACCGAAGGAGCTTTTTGGCCAACCCAATAGAAAAAATTCTGTTTTCTATTATATTAAGACGTTCTGTTCAAAGTCTCTCTCCATAAACTCCTAGTGGATATGGGCCATTCTTCTGTAAGTTGTTTTACAGTGTCTAATGCAACTGGGAATTTTTGAAATGTTCTTTCTTCTAGATAGGTCTTATATTCAAAGGGCTTTTTTGACTCTGCCCTATTATACTGAACCTGGCCTATAATGGTTTCTGCTGGTCGTCTTATACATAGACTTTTACTCCACCCATATGGGTCTGAAAAGTCTACACCTCCCTTGATCTAAAAGAGGAGAGGATTGAACTCTTATTAGAAGATGAAGGATTATGGTGTGATTTCATATTTGCCTTTCTTCTTAAGAGAATTTGTTGTGGTATCCAAATCTTATATTAAGCTACTTTCTACAGGCTCTCTTTGTGGCTTTTGGTGTACTTTTTAGAATATAGTATTACAGATAAAATTCTGTTATCTTCAGTGCTAAGGAACTATCTATTTCATTGAATTTTTTAAAAATTATTTATTTATTTATTTATTTTTGGCTGCATTGGGTCTTCGTTGCTGCACACGGGCTACTCTTCGCTGCATCGCTCAGGCTTCTCATTGCTACTTTTCTTGTTGCGGAGCACAGACTCTAGGCACACAGGCTTCAGTAGTTGTGGCTTGCGGGCTCTAGAGTGCAGACTCAGTAGTTGTAGCGCACAGGCTTAGTTGCTCCGTGGCATGTGGGATCTTCCTGGACCAGGGCTCGAATTCATGTCCCCTGCATTGGCAGGCGGATTCTTAACCACTGCACCACCAGGGAAGCCCCCTATTTCATTGAATTTTATATCAAATATTGCTTAACTGAAGTAAACCTGCTGTTGGGAATTTTTGTACTATCAAATGGCAAGTGATGATCTGGTATTTATTGTAATATGATTGGCAATATCCTAAGACATTACTCACATTTATTCTTTTCATAGGTTATAGGTTGTACCTGTCGAGTTAGTCAAACAGCCATCATTTTGTCAAGGTAAGATTTTTGCTTTCCTTCCTGGCAAGGTGTAGACTCTCGTTAGTCTTGGGTCTAGGTAGGAACAAATAGGAGGACAGTGCCCTTATTTCCATTGATTCTGTCACTCCTGGGTCCTCACAGAGCTATACTAAGTAAGAAACAACAAATGTGTGATCATTAATTCCATTTTCCCAGGTAAAATAGGCAAGCAATTTGAAGTTTCAGATTGGGTTTTAGTCCCAATTCTGCCATTAACTCTATGTGACCTTCAATAAATATTTCCCTTTAAGTCTTTTGACTTCTAATTCCTTTTCATATATCATGAAAAGTTGTAGTAGGTGGTTTTCAAGATCTTATTCACCTTTATAACGTTGGGTGAGACTCTTAAAATTATTAAGCTCAGAAAGGATCTGGATCTTACCTAAAGTGGTAGTCATATTGAGTTGGTTTTAGACTTTATACCTTTTACTCCTAGATCTTTTCCTCTTATAGGGATCTGGATATATTTAGCTGCATAAATAACTGGTTGCTTAAAGCTGTGCTTTGGAAAAGTTCTCAGGAAGGAGCTGATGAGAATGAAGTTATTACTGGTCACCATGAAAAGTGAAACAGACTGATCACAGAGCTCCTTGGTAGCTTTTTCATTTCACGATTACCTACTTGGATTTTTAATCTGATCATACAGCTCCCAGAGACTCTCTGTGAAACTCAGTTGGGATTTATTAACCTAGGTATAAAATACATTTCCCACTCCACTTCCCCAGGAACTTGAAAAGAAGGTATACTTAAAAGTTTTTGAGGTACTTTTCTTGAAGGAATTAAATATATATGTATTTGTGGAGAGCTGGTGGGGTGATGGAGTTGGAAGAAGGACAGGAGAATATTTTGCAAAGGGAAAATGGCATAAAAAAATCTGAATATTAGGGTGATAAGTTTTTTTCCTCCCAGCCTGATACCTCTACTATTGATGATACCTGTATTCTGTTTGGGCAATGCCAGTGAATGTTTCCGCAACTTCAGCCAGAGCCACAGGTAAGTAAGGACCAAACCTATCATTTTTATAATAGACTACACCTATTCTTTTCTATAAATAAAGATGGAAGAAGACTTTGTACATACATTCTGGCCAAGGTGCTTGTATTTGAAATGGGCTTTGGACAAGTTGTACAGTCAAGACCAAAAATATATAAGCAGAAATACAACACAAAATGACTAGATGATAATGTGTCAGTGAGAAGGAACAAGGTATTATGGGCAAGGCTTAGCTAAATGATAAGTTAAATTACATACTCATTAACTTTTGTTGCACCAAATAGGTATCTCTCTGGTCTTATACCTGTAGCAGCATTTCTGACCATTGATTCTCTACCTAGGTGTCTCCTGATGTACTCACCACCAACAGCCATGGCTAAAGTCCTGCCTTCTGCCAACACATCAGTCTGTAGCACACTTTATTTTTATGGGCTTATCATTTTCCTGGCCAGCTTTCTACTCAGCCTCCTCACCATTGTGGTATGGTGCCACCCTACTTGCCTTTATGGAAAGAGAGGGGGAGGCTGGGTGGGATGGGGCAGTATTCCCAGGCCTGGGAAAGATGGGGCGGATAGGCACTTCTTATAGTCCTAGAACCAAGAAAGTGTCTAGTAGATATTGATAATTTAATTACTACCTCAGTCTTTTGGACTTCCCAAGATCAAATGATGAATGGGGAAAAGAGCTTATATTCATTATGTGAGAATTATGTTCACTCTAGAAATAATGTGTTCCTGTGGATCCTCATGGAGGACCAGACCAGAAAACTAGTATGTGTCAGGTATATTCTTTATAAAGTATGATACTCTGGAACACAGGACATCTTCTCTGTTTTAATTTTCCAAATAATTAAAGAGTTTTCTTTTCTCAGTTCTTCATTGACTATAAATTTGTATTTATGCTATGTCTAACTGGGTTTAAAGTGCTGAGTGACTCATACAGTTATTAAATACTCATTTGACATCATCAGACTGATGGACAAGTAATCATCCATGGGACAATACATTATTTATATATAACTGCCCAGTACAAAGTCAGTAAGCAAGTGAATATGCCTTTTTATTTGTCATATCTACTTTTCAATATCATTTTCTCCTCTTTTCATATGCTAGTTCAGGAATTATAAACTATCTGGTTGCAGACCAACTTTATCCCACAGTTTTTTTCCTTTTGCTAGCACAGCTAACATCTGTGAATGAAATACAATTGTGGAAATTTTTCTTTGACAATTCAAAAATAAGTTATGGAAATAGCTTAGAACAAATCAGCAACTTTGTAAAGAATGCACAATGACTAGTTTATATTAAAATGGCCTTGATGGTTTTCATTTAGAACTGATTGACAGGAGAGACATGTGTCCCAAAACCTGGCACCCTAGGGATTCCTGTTTGTCCTTCAGAATAACCCAGACTTCAGTGGGCATTCAGGACTGGCATTCTGATTCTTCTGTGATCAGCAAACGGTGAACTGATTCTACTAGATGTAAATATTCTCAAATAAGTTCAAGCCTCTTTATGATTCCTATGTCTGTGGGGAAAGGAAACCACATGGCTAACCTTAAGTAATTGTATTATTAACTTACAGAGTGGATCTGGATTATTAGGAAAAGTTTCAGATTTGGACAGATTTTATTACCTAATTTACTCCCCACAAAAAGGACATTGAACTGATTTATACTTATTTCATTAACTAAACCATATTCAAATTGCTCCCAAATGGAAGGGAAAAACAATCTGTTTTCCATCTAAGTGCAAGAAGAGACTTCCTAAAACATTTTTTTCTGGGAGTTGAGAATTTAAGCTCTGTCACAGTGCTAAAGTATTTATTTTAGGGGTATTAAGCACAGAACACTTAATAACACAACCTTTAGTTAGTTTAAACATCTTTTTTGGAGTATAATTGCTTTACAATGGTGTGTTAGTTTCTGCTTTACAACAAAGTGAATCAGCTGTACTGTATATGTAATTCACCATATACATATATCTGTATATCTCCTCCCTCTTGTGTCTCCCTCCCACCCTCCCTATCCCACCCCTCTAGGTGGTCACAAAGCACCGAGCTGATCTCCCTGTAACACAGCCTTTAATAAAGTGTTTTAAAAGAGAATCTGGTTAGATCTTAGTTTTAACTTCCCATGCATATTGTGATTAACTTCATTGAGAAAAATGAAAGCCTGAGGGTTGATGTAAGGTTTATGTATTGAAATATATAGTTTGACTAATATCTGTCAATTTACCTGGCCAAGCAAAAGATCACTCTAGAGATAATTTTCTCTCAAAAAAAGCCTGGTCTCAGATGGTAAAGACAGGAGGATGGTCTTTCCTGCTGTCAGATCCTAAGAGAAGGATCTATCCAAAATGATAGGCTAGACCTGGGAAGTTTTAGTAAGGCTTAGGCAGACTACTCACCGCTATACTCATGTTTAGGTCTTACTCATTCAAGCCCAGACACTTTATAAGAAGTTTCTGAAATCGACTGGCTTTCTGGGGAGTGAACAGTGGGCAGTGATTCACATTGTGGAGCATCGAGTACGCTTCTACCCAGTGGCCTTCTTTTGCTGCTGGAGCCCAGGTGGGTATCTTAATGGAAAGATTTGGGCAATGAAAAGGGTAACCATTAGATTGTGGTCAAGCAAAGTAGTCTCACCAAGAAGGAGGAGTACAAATTTCTGTCCAGCATGTAAAATTTACCTTCATTCCACCCGTATCTTCTTATGTTTTAGAAATTAAGAGAATTAGATGTGAGATGATATGAGAGGAAATGTACTGACAGAACTCAGAGACATTAACACCTGCCCTTTCTGCTACATAAAGTGTAAGGATCAGATAGGATAATGTTTATGAAAGGGCTTGGTAAACATAAGAAGTTAAGAATTGTAACTTATGATCTTCCTGTAGTATGTCTTGCCACCATTGCTACTCTAATAATCTGCAAAGTTTAATCAATGAGGAATAGCGGTTGGAGATCTGAGGCCAGTGGTTTATATAACTGGTTAATCTCACTGCTAGTCTTCATTATGCCTATAACTCTCACAATGCTTAGGCGTGTATACTGAAAAAAATTATGCTCAGGCAGCCAGGGCTGGCAGCAAGATTTATACTTTGTGTTTTCACAGCTGTCATTCTGATGATCATAAAGATGACTAAGCCACAGGACACCAAACTTCACATGGCCCTCTATGTTCTCCAGGTAACACCTTGAACATCCAGCATTTCTGTTCTTATACTCTCTTATCCTGTTCTCTTACATTACCATGCTTCAGTAAGCACAATTTTTCCCCTTAGGGTACTTCTTTCTGCATTGCAAGAGAGAAATATATTGTTTATATTCAGTTATGAAGAATGTGGAAATTTCCTCGCAGATGAGGTAGATACCTTTGTGAAAGTGCTGCCATGCATTCCAGAGCATGTATATCTCAGGCCAACTTCATTTCATTGATGTGTTTTTTTTTAAGGGGTGGGTAACAAAAGACAAGATCTACCAGATAATGTTCTTATGAAACTCTGATAGTGACATGATTCTCTCTCACCCAGAGTGAAATGAATGGGATAAATTAGCTATTCTAGGTGAATGGAGAGAGAGAAGTAAAGAAAAAATGATTCTCTCTTTTCATCCTTTATCAGATTTAAGAAGGGTTTTTTGGGCTATCTGACTGTGGTGATAGGGCAGTTTCTTCAAGCCTAACCTGGAAAATGGGGCAATAAGGAGAGACATTGAAACGACTTCATTATCTTTATGTATATACTAAGAAATATGACTAACTCTCAGTCATCCATAACAAGGTATGATGTGAAGAGTGAGTTCAGGAAGAGCTAGAAAAATATTTTTTAAAAACTGACAACAAATTTTGATTTTTGAGATAGAATAAATATAACAGTGATTTATAAATAAGAGGAATGGAAACTATTCCCCAAATCTCTGAAAATCTGAAGGATGGGCTCCATCACCCCTTCATCTCCTCCAGGCTCTAACAGCATCATCTCAGGGGCTTCTCAACTGTGGAGTATACAGCTGGACACAGTACAAGTCCTACCAACTAAAGCAAGAAGCTCGGCATGATGCAGACACCCAGACACCATTATTATGCTCACAGAAGAGATTCTATAGCAGAGGCCTAGATCCACTGGAGTCTACCATTGCTTTTGCTACTAGCACCTCCACCATTCTTTGAAACTGTAAAACTGGAACATCCAGAACTGGAATGATTCTACACTAATGGTTTGAGAAGAATGTTTGGGAAGAACATCTTGAGTCTTTTCTAACCATGCCTTAAACTATGGAAGTGAAAGGGAGTGTAGTGCCATGGTTAGTAGCTAACTCTAGGTGAAGTGGGTGGGATCTAATCATTATTCTCAGATTCACAAGTAAAGTCACTATTCAGGGAGATGAAGCCACTTTCCACCTAAGAGATAGACTCATATTATTTCAATAGATATTAGATTTGTCTAAGTCTCTTCTACAAAAAATAAATTCCAAGCTATTATTTGTATAAAGTGTTTCCAGGCTCTCTGCTCCATGGTTGTGGGGGAAGTGGTGTGGCATGCAACACCTTGCTCGGATCTTCACATTGCTATCACTCTCCTTTTGGTTATACAAAGTCCTGTGTTTACATTCTTTGAAGAGTTTTGGAAACTCAGAATAAGCAAGGACAGAAGCTGCCAAAAAAAGTGATAGTAGGGGGTGCAGTGGTTGAGAATCTGCCTGCCAATGCAGGGGACACGGGTTCGAGCCCTGGTCAGGGAAGATCCCACATGCCGCGGCGCACCTAAGTGTGTGCGCCACAACTTCTGAGCCTGCCCTCTAGAGCCCGCGAACCACAACTGCTGAAGCCCGCTCGACCTAGAGCCCGTGCTCCGCAACAAGAGAAGCCACCGCAATGAGAAGCCTGTGCACCGCAAGAAGAGTAGCCCCTGCTCGCCGCAACTAGAGAAAGCCCATGTGCAGCAATGAAGACCCAACGCAGCCAAAATAAATAAATAAATTTTTTAAAAAAGTGATAGTGGGATCCTAATACACACCACATCCTAGTCTCTTACATATTCCGTGCCGTTCTAGGCCTTAACAATAGGAACCTTCCTGCTCCAGAAAATTAAGGCCAGTCTTTTGAAGTTACAGTGGATAATAAGATTTAAGAGAAATCAGGACTAAAACTCTGAATCAAAAACTTCTCAACTCTCAATTATAAGCAAAAACCCAAGGTAGGTTTCATAGTGCTTGGACACAGAATTAGGTTGAACCATATGAACTTGCCATTTTTGTAGGTGAAAATGGTCTAATATCAATTTTACATAGTTCAGTCTGGCTGTAAGTGCTAAATATATGTGTATTGAATAAATGAATGAACAGATGAATGAATGACTAACAAGTAGAATTTAACCTTTGGGGAAAGAAAAGATTCCCACACTGAAGAGGCTCATTCATGGGTAGGGATGTTTAATGTTTCTTCCTCTCTAGTCACATAACAAGTGATGTTTGGTCTCTCCAGTTAAGTCATTAACAAGGCCACACCGAGGCCAGGGCATCAGATACTATGATGCCAAAACAAAGGGGAAAGCCAAATGGACAAAAACTGGAATGACAATCAACTAAAACATCTGGAACTAATAATCAGATACTTTTCACCTGATAAATTCCTTTCATCAGTGCAAGGCAAAATCCTTAAGATTAGAGGAAATTGACAGAGTAGATTGTAATGGTGCATTAGACAGTATACTCTGAAAAGTAAGTTCCAGAGATCTTTCCAAAGGAGTTCTCAGTAGAAATGTTAGGGAGCTCAATAATAGTTCTTTAGGTTTTAGGCCATGAGCTTCAGCCTTACTATGGATGGTAACCTGACTTCATTATGTCAAGAACACATCTTGAGGCCTCCTAAGATGTATAGCACAGATTACTGGGTAGCACAGAACAAGAAAGATTGCCTTACCTAGAGAGGTGCTTTAACTTCTTTTAATTTAAAAACTAATAAGAATTCAGCATATAGAAAGACAGATGGAAACAAGATTCTCATTTCCGTAGACCTTGAGGGACACCAGAATTTAGGAGTCCAGTTCTTAAAATGTCCTGTCGGTATCACTTCATATTTGACTTTATTACCAGAAGGAAGATAATTATCAAATATATGTCAGGTTTGTTCATCTTGCTTCTCTGATGAATTTTTTGCATTGACACTGGTCTTAGATATTCTATAGATGTAGGCAAATAAAAAGATAGTAGAAATGAAAATAAAATGTTAGGCAAGATTGGGATTATCAACTCTTCATCATACTGAGAGTAGGAGGGCCACTATTCAAACTATGTAACCCTTGAATTCACATGTAGGAGGGGCATAGACATAGATACAGTGGCAGTTCTTAAAATTTCTGCAAATACCCCTCCCATGACTCCATGACTTGTCCAGTTTACGGTCATAGTGGAGTACAGTTGTATCTATGCAGCTTTGATTAATACAGATCTTCCTTGAACCATATGTTGTATCATCCTTCACCTCCTCCTCATCAGCCCAGTCTGTAGCTTCAAAAAATCTCTGCACCCCAATACCATGTGTTCTGCATGGGGAACTGGGTGTTTGATGTTTTTCAATGCATGGGAGCCTTTGGATGTTTTCTCATAGCAGCCTCCCACTTTTTACATCTTTGGCCTTGCACTTGCTGAAGACTTTAAATATCCCTTTAGATTCACTGCCACAGTTTCCAAACTTGTTTCCCTTAGTATTCATTAATGTTAGCAACTTTCCTGGGCAAGCTTTGTGCCCCTTTCAAAGATTTTAACACACAGATTCTCCAGTCTTCAACCCCGGCCTTGGCAACAATAACCTTGTTCCTTGCAAGGAGTGCCATCTTGCTTGTAGGTATCTGTGTGGCAGCGCTTGGGGGTGCCATTACAGTATTTTGGGAGGTCACACTTATCCACACTGAGGTGGCAAGTTGTGGTTGCTTTTAGAGATTTGTGGTTTTTGCAGCAAGATCCAAATGCATAATTTAAACCCTTCCTCAGCTGGCATGAGGGCAGACAACAGTGATCCTTTTGACAGTCAAGAACACTGCCATAGTCAAATTCTTCTCCTTTATCTAATATCTTATTCCCACAATATGGCTTTCAAAAGGAGCTTTGGAGCTCAGTTCTATTAAATAGGCAGCCCTCTCTGTGCTTATGCAACAGCTGGTGGAAATAGTGGAAGCTGCAGTTGCTGAAGCCCATATCTACAGTAATAGATTCATGCGTAGTACAGAGGTGCTGGCCATGGAACTTGCAGGCCACATGGTCATGCTTCATTCCCAAGTCATGGCCAACCTCATGAGCTATGAAAGCTGTGAAATGTGGAGTATCTTCATGAAAGAAAGATTCAGCAATGGTTTCATTCTTGGCAGTGCAGATACCACTGAGAAATGCATGGCTCTCATACTTCCCAAGAATTTGGCCAATAATCACATGAGCAGCATCATGTTTCACCCCTCTCAAGAGATTCCAGTCTTTCCAGTGTTTAAAATTTTGAAGTGTTTCCTGCAAATTCAGGAAGATTTGCACAAGGGTTTTCTCTATCCATATCCCTAACCCAGTAAGCAGCGCTTTCACATTATATCCTACCTGTACCTGTTGACCAGAGCATGGACATCTATTAACATCTTTGTGGTCTTGGTAACATTATTATTCCACATTTGGAATCACTTATTGTCAGCCACAATTAACTTGTAGATACTTGGGAAGTGGCTACATATAGGACATAGGAAACTGAGGAAGGTTCTCTTTTGCTCTGCAATTGTGAAGTGCTTAAGAGCTCCTCTTGTTTATCTCCACGGATTACACAAGACTCACCTGATTTTAAAGATATGCTGTAAAGCATATATGCTTAATATATATAGGCTTGATACCAAAAACAGTGCCATCTAAGGTCAGGATTCCCTTTTGCCCTGAGCAAGTGCTGATTGTCGCAAAAGAATCCAGGTCGTCCTCTGAATACTCAGTCATCCTGAATAAACGCAAGACTAGTTTCCCATTTTGATGTGTATAAACAGGGAACTTCTTGACAAATATTTCTTTCTTTTGCTTCAACTTAATAGTATGCCATTTTCCTTGTTTGAGCAGGACATTGGACACCTTTTCTGCTTTTTCTTCTAGTTCTCTGAACATCATCAGGTTCCTAGGGAAGACTATTTCATAATAAAGAGATTCCCACTACAGTGCATCCCTGGAAGAATAGTCACAATTACCAATAAAGTGACATGAAGCTTAATATGGGAAGGGCCCTTTCTCAAATGCCCTAAGCGGCATTCC